TTCTTCCTACTGATAAGTGTAAAGAAACTTACCATCAAGACTTTCTGACTGGTTGAGTCGTAACATCCCAAGTTGAGTAGAGAAGTATACTACAAGACACAACGATGTTTTGTTGTCTGGTATGTATACTTACTCGATAGATTTTGATGAATGACTTTCTCAAAAAGCAACTATCAGTTTCTCTAAACTTGAAACAGGCGAACTAAGAGCAACATGACTAACACAACAAACGGGTACACAGCACACTCATGATTGTGATCAGTGTCTGTTGAATGAATTATTTCTTGGACGCAGATGGCTCAGAAGATAATTTTAGGAAGAAAATACCGTAAATATCGTCATTCACAATAGTAGTCAAATTATTTTATCTTACGATTGGTAAGGTGTTATATTCAAAAATGTCTGAATAATCATTAAAACATCAGATAATTTTTCATACTTGTTATTTATTCTGCACACTGCGATGCACTACACTGTACGTAATAATAACATGAGATTATATATATATATATATAATTTTCAAAGATTAGCAATGAGAGAATCCACTGTTTGTTTGACAGATTTCGGTTTCCCTATGCCAAAAATTGATAAAAGCATATCATAACTAATTAGGCACGCACAAACACCGACATTCAGATGACAGCTGGTAATCTGTGATGATTCGCCACCTACACGTATTGCTAGATAATGCAAATAAATTATCGACTTTTTTCGAGTGCAGAGCGACTGATTAATCTTCAGTGCGTGATAGAATACATTTGTATGGTTTACTTCGTCGAAAGAAATAAAATTAATAAGGTTTATCATCTTATTTGAGGGTTACTAGCAGTGTGGAATCTAGAATGAGCATTTCGTCCTATTCGGGACCCGTTGATTGGATGTACCTGCAATCCCCCGTGGGTGGTGATGTTCCTTCAAAGACTCGAACCCAGTCGACGTCGTCTCGAACACCAAAACATTATCTACGCTAATCTACAAACATCATCTAGTTCTCTTTACCATGAGGCAATATACTGGCAGAGAATGAGCATTCCATTCCAAAATAATCAATGAGCGGGAAATATAAATGAATCTGAAAACGAATAAGTTATTTTTGAAGTTTTCCTGCTTGCTGTTATTGCGTTTTAGTTATGGTGTGTCACTTACAGAGACGGTAGTATAGGCTAACCAAGTATAATCTAGTGTCGTCTATTCATTTTTACACTTCTTATAAGGTATTTACATGGAAAGACAATAAACTGTTTCATAAAATACACCTCATACTCTATCATAATATGTAGAAAATGCAAATGTGAACGCTTCACTTTGTAATCTGTACAGCTGAATTCATCATATATACAACATATTAATATCAAGTAGAGCAGTTTGAATAAAATCAGCTGTTAAATTTTATTCCTCAGATTGTTTTTTCAATATGTTATTTGGTATCAAACTACCTACACAATACTAATTGTATTATAATGACAATATAGGCATGTGCCGATGTCACTGCACTTAGTGTCGTTGCAGAGATGTTTCATCCTGAAAACTCCATTCATCTGTGTTAGACGTACTTAGTTTTCAAAAAGTGTAAATCATTTATTTTGTTTTCTCTCAGCTAATCCTACAACATATTGCACCACATTTTCTGTTATGTTTTACTTTACACGGCATTCTGATTATGCTATCAAAATGAATACGAAGTTAATGGTTTGTTATTTTATTATTACTGTTCCCTTGGGTTCCTAGCCTCAACTCCAAGTCTCCACTTGCTTCTGTCCTCCTTCTGCTGTACTTTTCACCTGCATCCATGTTATTCCATACTCTTTCAACTCCTCTTCACACGATCTCCTCCATGTCACCCTTGCACCGACGTCCCACACGCCGCTTCCCTTTCGGGTTCCATTCGAGCAATGACCTTACGCGCAATGTCACCAACCGGCCTCCTAAGCGAGCGAATGTCCAATCCATCTCCACTTTCTTCTGCATATTTGTTGGGAGATCGATTGGTTCTTGTTTTGTTTATTCCCATAGTTTCTTGTTGTTGGTGATTCTTTCCGGCCCGGCCATCTGATCTTCAGGATTAAGCGAAGACAGTTAGTTGCTGATGAAGGTCTGAAACAGGCTGTTGGAAATATTCTTTGTGACCCGCCCGCCAAGTTTCTGATCCGTATGGAAGAACTGACTGACTTGACGTTTCTATTGAAAATCCGACCAAATTTTGTTGTTGATTCTGGCTGAGTGACGAAGATTTCCAGATTGATTTCTGGTTGATGAATGTGTTTCTCGCCTTCCCGATTCTCGCTCGATTTGACATCCTCGTCCGTTCCGACTTCCTGTAGTTGAGACAATGCTCCCTAGAGAAGTGAATGAAGTAACCTCTTTCAAATCCCTCCCGTTGATGGTGATTAGCGCTGAATGTTGCTGTTGTTGTTGTTGTTGTTCGTTGGTTATTTTCATCACCTCCGTCTTGTCTATGTTCACTTGGAGTCCTGTCTTCGCCGGCTGCTTCCTCGACCAGTTTTTCGGTTTTCGCTTGTAAGTCTTCGATTTTGTATGACATCAAACATAAATCATCTGCGAAAACTGAAGTTAATGGTACTCTTCGATAAATGAAACTATATAGAAAAGTTAAAACAGCACATACGCGTTTTTGTTCTCATTAAATGCAACCAACTTATGTTACATATAAGAGTAAAAATAACTTCTGACTGTCACTGATTCGTGAATTAATAGATATTCTCATTCGAGTAGTGATAATTTCGGATTTTTAGTAGGAATTAGGTTTTCCGCATTCAGCAAGAAATTACTATTGTCAATTAATCCTTTGTATTACTAAAAATTGTCTTGACAAACTGTTTAGAATATTGAAACATTTCGTTTTAGTCATTTTTTGTTTGCATCGTTGACAGGTGGCCTGCTTAAAACTTGGTCTACCAGAAACTTTCATCTCTCTATTGGATACATTTTCTCTTGTTCGGCTTGTTTTAATCGATATGATGTCTACTAGAATTATCTACTCTTGTGTGTATTAATAAATCTTTCATTTATTCTTTCTCAAATGCCATGCTTCCCAGCATCACTTGTGTTAATAATAGCCCCTTTCCAGGTTTTAACACAAATGATGTTCAAAAGCTCCCCAAGTCTCTAAACCCTTCCCAGAGCTTAGATCCAGATTATGTACCCAGTATTATTTTTTTTTAATGTTCTGATATTCTGTGTCACTCTCTCACTGATCTATTTAACAAATCTTTTTCCGATAATATTGTGCCTGCCATTTGGAAGGACATTAAAGTTGCACCCATATCTAAATCATCTACTGGAGCATGTGTCAAATTTAGACCCATTGCTATTACCTCTCCTTTTTTGAAAACTATGGAGAAATTACTTTTGCTTAGTCTTGTACCTTCGCTTAAATCCTTTAATGACCCTAAACAATTTACCTATGAGCACAGTAGAAGCACTTTAGATGCAGCTACCGTCTTATATTATAACATTGCTTCCAGTCTAGACAAGGGGGTTAAATTTGTTTGTTTTGCCTTCCTAGACTACACATCTGCTTTTGACTTGGTCCCTAGGGACATCTTATTAAATAAACTTGCTGCTAGTCAAACAGAATGTTGGGCTGTTAACTGGTTACATTCCTATTTCTCGGAAAAAGCAGTACACCGTGTATAAAAGGAAGTCTTCCACTTCATTACCTACTGAAGCTGGTGTCCCTCAAGGCGCTGTCCTTTCTCCTTTTTCTTTCTTCTTGCGTGACTTGCCTCACTCTGATGAAAAAAACTTTGTGAAGTACGCTGATGATTTAACGGCTTCAATGGCTGTTAACTCCCAGCTAGATTGTACCAAAATAAATAGCTTTCTACCGGGAGTCAGCAAATGGTCTGAGTCTAACGGTCTTAAACTGAATCCTTCTAAATGTCAGACTGTTAATTTCAGCTTAAGATGTAAACGACAGTTAAAAGAAGTTGTCGATTCTCATGACAGTTGTAAAATTGACGGCAACGATATAAGAATTAAATCAAAAATTAAGTATCTTGAACTTATTCTCTCTTCTGATCTCTCCTGGTCTTCTCATGTCTTAGCGATCTCCAGTAAAATATTCCGCCTGCCATTTTACATTAAAAAAATTAAGGCACTCAGGTATAACTCAACCTATCCTCTAACAGTTCATAAACTCTTGCATCCTACCTATTCTTCTTTATAGTTCACCCTTATTCTTTTCTGGTTTGCTTAGAAAAGACTACATCACAATTCGTAGAATTCTGAAGACTGTCAGTAGGGTAAGTGGTGTCCCAGTGGACCACATAGTTAACGTCGTTATCGATAGGCACTTGACTTCGTGCAATAAATTTGCTAGAGGGATTTTGTCTGACTTGGAGCATCCGCTTTATCCTTAGCTTTCACCTTGCATCTTTTCAGGTAGAACAAGGAGTAACTTCAGAAAACTGTATACTCGCACGTCTAAGTATAAAAATTCTATGATATCATACTTGGCACGTATTTTATGTGATGAAAATAGTGTCAGGCAAGAACTAAATAACCTTTTTTCATCTAGTAAATAAACAATTTCCTCCATCCATCCTTATATACCTTCAAGTTTTACTTTTATTACTTCTATTATATTTATGGTCCTGTTAATTCTCTGTTTTACTCTCATAATTGCAAACACCAGCTTATCTCCATGACTGCTGTAATCTTTGTTTTTCCCCTCACCATATCATGTAAAGAGAACATTATACTCAATATTTTTAAACATGTTAGGATTTCTATACCTCATCGACAATACTGTGTGACACATGCCAAAGGCAATTTTCACTTGTATTCTTATTATTATTACCCTAGCTGTTATCATTATTATTGCTATTTCCATTTTATATGCTGCATGATTTTGACACTACCTCTATTGTAAATGTGGAAAATTTTCTGTGATTAGTTTTATTTATAATTTGAGGAAATTAGATGCAATATTGTGAATAATGCTGAAAATTCCATTCTGTATCACAAGTACTGTTTTTGGAATAAAGTAAATCATTATTATTTAAAAAAATGTTTACAAACTCTTGATCTGCAGGTTTCTACTAAAGTTAAGGAACTGCATGATTGTGGATGGTAACGTGTTTCAATGCATGAAATAATTGTTCTTCAGTTATGTCTTTTGGTTTCAAAATATACTTCTGAACATCTTACAATTGGCTTTCAACTAGATCGATATCGTGGATGTCTTGAAGGGGAAAAGAGCAGATATATCATAATGGAATGGTTGGTGCTTCAGCTCAGAGACCACTGTGTCACAGGTTATACTACTGTCACTTAATATTTTACTTGAATATATTGTACGAAGGGAAAATATCAAGCAATAAACTCCTCTGAATATTCCCAACATTTTATAAATACTGTCCAGAATATAGGTATTATTATTAATATATGTTCATATAAACAAATCCTTGAATACTTTAGTGCCTTCACAAAAATTAAGACGGAAATTCTTCACATGATCTCCGGTCAAATTCAAGCTACTGATTTAAGATCTGTTTTAGACTTAAGCTGGTCGGAAATGTATTCGTAGAGAAGTAACCACTGTATTTCGTCTACTGTATTGAAAGTCTTTGGGGTTACACACGATAATTATGCATCAAATGTCACCCATTTCCTCTTTATCACAGAAGAATGAAACTTCAGATTTATCGAATGAAATAAAAGTCAAAATAGCTATTCATATATGTATAAATATACATAAGCATCACAGTAATTGAAAGAAGTGCCAATGTCATCCATAAGTAATAGATAAAGTTGGTATTTATCACAGCCAATTAGAATATAATTTCAGCAAAACAAAATGTATTAACATATTCATGATAATTTCAGGTTTTTCTGAGAAGAAAAGCCAAATAAAGTTGTGTTTTTTGACCATTACATACTTCTTTTTTTCAGAAAAACTTTTGTAAAGAAAGATAAGTAGATGAACAATAACAAAACTGACCATCGAGAAATTGTATATTACAGAATTGTTTCTTTCAGCACACTTAACAGAACAGATACAAACATGTATTACTCTAATTATTCACTTCGATGAAAGTAATTTCACTGTTTAACTACGATTATTCTATTTCTTGTCCTTATTCTTGCATGTGTTAATAGATCATGACGTTCTGCTTGAGTACAAAAAGCTGCTTTTGCAGCATTGAGATTTGCTTTAGCTAGACTAATCGGTTTCACGGATAATTCATTCATACAGTATTTAGCTTCATCTGCACTCCATTTCTGTGACAGTGTTGGACAGTCTGCATTGATAGAAAATCTTATATTATCTTTGAGAAATTGATGTATAGGATGATTTTTTGGATTCTTCATGTCTATTGCACCAGTCATAACACTTGTTGATGGACACATCTGACATAAAGGAAAGTGGTAAATGAACAATTTCATCGTTATTGAATGGTATTGTCAACAATTTTATGAATGTGTTCATTATGATTCCGCTAAAGAATGCCTGCTATAGACCTCAGAGAAATTTTATAATAGTTAAAATGTCAGTGTGGAACTTGGGCACTATGGTAAAATGATATTTTAAATGTCGCACAGCGATGCAATATTAGCAAAACTGATATGATTATGAGCAATAATTTATATTCGAAACGTAATCCATTTGTTAATACTGAGTCGCTGTATGATATTTAAAATAAAATAATCTAATATAGTTAAAATGTACTTGGTTTCTGATTACTAACTCGTCAGTTTTTCTAAATGCTTGGTTATACGTTCAACCAGTGCACACCTAGATGAAGAAATGAAGCAATAGACTGTAAACCACAAACTTTACTCCTCAAATTAATGTTCTTTGAAATCTTAGTCATTACTTTACACTGAACTACTTCTTGATGCAGTCTGTTCGTCTGCCAGTCATCAATTTCTTCTTTTAAAGACACCATTTTAAGCGACAGGAAATCTGCGTATCACACACTGATCACGCGGTATTCTGGGTCTTTTAAAACTAATTAACTAAAGTGTTCTCACTGTAGGATTCTGATTAACGACCCTTGATAGGAAATGTTGCTTTTACAAATAAACAGCCATTGAAGTTAGTATATGAAAAGTGAGCAGCCTATTTCATCTCGCTTCATTTATCCGTTAACCACGCATGTGGTTCGGAGTTCGATTCCCAGCTGGCGCACCTCCAAACCTTGTATAGCCGGTCGTAAGATTGGTAAAGGGGAAAGATTGGGCATGAAGCTACCAACCCTATCCGGTGAAAGATAAATACCAGTGCTACTGAATATACAAAGCTCAAACCTGAAGTCCTATTTTCCACCCGAAACGCAAAGGAAAAGAATGAAAATAATAAAGCTACTTATCTCGGTTTAATCAGTAGTAAAAACAACATTTTTTTTGGTTTGCAGCTTGATTCCACACTGTATTTTTGGTACAAGTATGGAATTTTCAGCTTGGATATCGGTAGCCCAAATTTTGCAGGCCGACCATAGATATCAGGTGTGCGCCGGCGTGGGCTCGAACCCCGGACCATGTGCATGGTCGGCGAGAGTCGTAACACTTTCAAGTTCATCGTCACTTTCACTATTACGTAATGACTCATCACTCTTCGCTAGACAAAATTATATTACAAAGAAAACTAACTGTAAACTGAACACAACTCATCCGTTTTATGATTCAACAAATATTAGTAGAAATAGCTTAATTTACGATAAAAGAAACTGATGATACCCCAGATAGATTGTCAAACTGAAATAATTTCAGAACAATATGAATCAATTCTAAAAACAACTTCACTCATATTCGCTTGTTAAAGGAGATCGGGAACACTGTCCAGGCCGGTTAGCTAAAGGAGAACACAAGTTGGGTAGCAGAACATCTGGTGAACTTAGACCAGCCAGCTCCATTTGAAAAGTCTTTCAAAGTCCTGTGAAAAATCCGATCAAACCTCTCAAAAGGAATTAGATCAAGGCATCTGGGTGTAGCTTAGGCACTAGCTATCCAAAAGTTGAAACCTAAGCTATGTATTCAGATGAAATACGTCCAATACTTTATCTTTCCATGGCTATCATTAACAATCATTATCCTATAACGTTTCTCATCCAAACTTTCTATTCACTTATTTTTTACATTTTAATCCGCATTTGTAATCTAGTTAAGTTGACCCTAGACTGGAAATAGTCCTGGAACTTTCTAACCAATTTAATACATATGTAAGAGTGTACAGTGTAGTTGATGACCTAATTGAAAAGAGAATTTTCTTTGTTGCAGCCGTCTTTTTAATTTTTCATATATAACACTTTGAATAACATTCTCTTTGTAGATAATTTAATGAAGTTTTTACCCAATCGGTGTCTGTTTAACCGAAATAAAAATGCCTCTCCAGTGGTTCACGAGACAATATTTGATGATTATATAGACCACATAGATAAATCTGCATAGAGGACCTTGTACAGCACTGCGTCGGTGGCACAGTGGTTAGGACTCTCGCCGACCATGCACATGGTCCGGGGTTCGAGCCCACACCGGCGCACACCTGATATCTATGGTCGGCCTGCAAAATTTGGGCTACCGATATCCATGCTGAAAATTCCATACTTGTACCAAAAATACGGTGTGGAATCAAGCTGTAAATCAAAAATTAAAAAAAAATCACATCACAGACATTCTTATCGAGTCAATTATTCATTCAAAATAAACTGTTCTCCATCACCATTCAGAAAAATAATTCATAGGCCAAAACCCAATTCTCGATGATACCATACTAAAAATAGAAGGTGAAATAGCTGAAACGTATTCAGGAAACAGATACACAATTTAGTGATCTCCGATGACCAAGTTGGAAAAGAAGAGAAAATTAGCCATGAGTTAATATTATGTTTAGTTCTTAAATCTCATCTGAATGAATACAAATAACTGTATCATTGGTTGGATCTCATTTGTGACGATCAGATGAAGATTTTGTTTCTAAAACATCTTCTTATCCGATTTTTCATAATTTTTTGGTCATGTTTGATGGCTTTTTTAATTTCTGACACACGTTTCAAACTAAATGTTTAAATGTAACCAGTGATTCAATTTCCCTGAAAATAAGCTTTGTAAAGTTACTAATGAGACAAAAGACAGTTTATCTGCATAAGTACAAAGCACTTAATGTCTAATGAGGGAAAAGTAAAATGATCTATTGATCTCATCTTGAGGCGGATTGGATACAAGCAAAAGAGATGGTTAGATGAAATCACGCACACCATCCCCCCTAGTGGAAACCGAATGGGAGGTGATGCGTTGATCATTTAAGAATGACATGGAGGAGACCATGTGAAGAAAAAGGGAAACTTTGTTGGTGGCAGTGGTGCTACTTACAATGATAGCAGAAAAGGGAGTACGATGAAACATGCTGCTGAAACTTTACATTACATTTTGGAGGCAACTGCAATAGTTGGTCTAATATTTTTTTTAATTTTATTTTTATTTTTGATTACAGCTTGATTCCACACAGTATTTTTGGTACAAGTATGGGATTTTCAGCATGGATATCGGTAGCCCAAATTTTGCAGGCCGACCATAGATATCAGATGTGTGCCGGCGTGGGCTCGAACCCCGGACCATGTGCATGGTCGGCGAGAGTCCTAACCACTGTGCCACCGACGCACCAGAAAACGGTTGGTTAGCCAGGGTCAAGTTTGTTTGACGTCCTGGTGATACGTACTATAGGACTGATCCCTAGAAGTACGATTTCTTTCTTCCTTCAATTGATAAGTCATAGGTCCCAATCTTAATCTACCCTGATAATGTTCAGATGAGTGGAAGAAATCAGCAATCGTCAGATATTGGGTAAATCTCATAACAATGTGTGCAAAATCTGGAGCGATTATTGAACCGTAGGCTTGATTTAAGCAAAAACAAATCAGTAATTTTGAAAGGTCACCGGTCCTGAAACTGAATAATGCTTATTCACACTTCGTGAGTTATGCAAGAGGGCTCACAGACTTTTCCCAATTGAATTTTCTGTCAACTGAATGCTATTTATAATAAGAAGACTAACTTACTTCAAAATGCACTTTTTCTTCAGTTATATATCGGTACAAATTTTCATCTTCAAGAATTCGATATCCATGAGCAATACGTTCAGCGTGTAATGCAGTGACTGCTTCATACACTCTATGCGCTGAACTCTTACAACCAACATCAACGGTACGATGAATATTATAGTTTTTAGCTTCTTGAAATGTTTTAACAATTTGTTTTGGGATAGGTCCATTTCCTATAACTTCATCACCACCTATATGAAGAAATGGGAAATAGAAAACAAAATTATCGAGTGGTTTTACCAGATATTTAATAAAATTTAAAGTCTGTTGTACAATTAAGTCATTGAACCTCTTTAAAAATTTTTGTCATGAAGTACCAGTTATCTTTGGCTTAGCCAACACTTTGAGACTATTTTCTCCACTAATCAACGTTGATTCCAACTACTGACTGGTAAAATTGTCTAGAACATCCAATTCTAAGTTTAAAACTTTGAATTACATTGTTAAAATCATTGATGACAAATTAATGTTATCAAATTTACCCTGAATTAATAACATTTTGTCTAAGTTATAGGTTTCACGTGTCAGTATCTAAACTCTGCATTATTTGCTCCATTGCAAGGTGTGGTGGATGATTTTTTAAGTCATACGGTTTCTGAGTTGTGGGCATTTGACATATGACCTATTATTCCCTAATACACTGTATTTCAAGTAACCCAAACTTTTCATTTTGGCATATAAAGCAGTAGCAATCTATAGTGTTTTACTTTTACAGACTAACTTTATGTTATGTGAGATGGCTGGAGTCAGTCGACATGATGTCCTGGAGCTAAGTTTCGCGCTTATTGACACTCATTAGTAGGTCGTATCCGCAACTTCAGAGGGGCTAATATCTACTCAGAGATTCACTCTCGTGTTACTCAGTACTGGAGTTGGAGACGCTGCCACTGAATTATTTGGGTTCACAAGTGAACTCCTGTAGGACTATAATGCATATATTGGGTGGTTACGAGATATTAACCAATGTCATTTATTTATTCTAGTAATAAACTGTGCTTAAAACATTTTCCACTTAATTATACTGTACTGAGTGTGGTAATAAATACTTGATCGCCGTAATTCGTCTTTTGGAGCTTCCTGATTTCATCAAGCTGCGAAAATCAATGTTACATAATTAGAAGCGAAAGATATCAGCATTTATGTACATAAATTTTAGAAATCTCCCACAATATAAACGGATAACAAGAGGTGTAATTTGTTATAATCTAAAAAAACGTAGACATTCTCTTTTTCTGTAACTTTTGACACTTTTCGGTTACAATTACATCCTTTGCTGAACTTCTTGTACTTTTCCCTCTAACATCCTTCTAAACGATTTACTTGAAACATCAAGCATATTTATCATATTCAAAAAATATAGCTATATGCTGATTGGACACTAGTAACTAGTGTGATGTGTCTAGTCCTTTCTTTGGTGCAGACTGAATTCTATCAGTCAGGTTTGTAATGTGGCCACTATTCTAGGTAACGGCTCTGACTGCAGCATTGGATGATGAGGGTTCGAATCACAGAAGGGAAATGAGTTCCTTCAAGGCTGCAGATACGCCTTGCTGATGAGTGCCAACTAGAACGAAACCTAGGTCCAAGGCTTTCTGCCGATTGCCTTCAACCACATAATATCATCATAGCTATATGCATTTGTAATTGTATAGCTTTTTGAATGAAATGGCTGAATAAATCCATTTCGTAGTGCAAAACACAAGTTTTATTCTGCAGAAAAAGATTTTTTTGAACAAATAAAATGAATATTGAAAACACTGAGAGTAAACTGAGTGTTACCTGGCAATGTATTTGTTTTACTCAGATTGGTATGAAGTGTCACAATAACACTAGTAGTCGAAGGCATACTTACTTTCTTATTCCTATTAAATATTCTCTGCTTCGAGTCATTAATAAGACTTCGTCTTACGGCGTACTCCAAATATTCATCAACCTAATTCAACAGCTGTAGGACAACGGCACATGTCAAGTCATCCACAACGAAAACTCAGTGAGGCGTTTGGAGTAAACACAGGAGTCAGACAAAAGTGCTTATTATCACCAATGATATCCCTGATTGTGGTGGACTGACAGGATTATGCATCAGACAGTGGGAAATGTGAAGACAGGGATATCCTAGACCGACGTGAAGAACCTAGAAGACCTGGATTTCGCGCGTAGGTGATTTATATTTGATGCCACACAAAATCGAAGACTTACAAGCGAAAACCGACAAACTGGTCGAAGAAGCAGCCGGCGAAGACAGGACTCCAAGTGAACATAGACAAGACGGAGGTGATGAAAATAACCAACGAACAACAACAACAACAACAGCAACATTCAGCGCTAATCACCATCAACGGGAGGGATTTGAAAGAGGTTACTTCATTCACTTCTCTAGGGAGCATTGTCTCAACTACAGGAAGTCGGAACGGACGAGGATGTCAAATCGAGTGAGAATCGGGAAGGCGAGAAACGCACACATCCATCAACCTGAAATCAATCTGGAAATCTTCGTCACAAAATTCAGATTTTCAATACAAACGTCAAGTCAGTCAGTTCTTCCATGCGGATCAGAAAGTTGGCGGGCGGGTCAGAAAGAATATTTCCAACAGGCTGTTGCAGACCTTTATCAACAACTGTATTCACTGGATTTATACTGAAGATCAGATGGCCGGACCGGAAAGAATCACCACCAACAAAAAAACTATGGGAAGAAACAAAACAAAAACCAATCGATCGCCCAACAAATATGCAGAAGAAAGTGAAGATGGATTGGACACTCGCTCGCTTAGGAGGCCGGTTGGTGACATTGCGCGTCATGCCATTGCTCGAATGGAACCCGAAAGGGAAGCGGCGTGTGGGACGTCGGTGCAAGGGTGACATGGAGGAGATCGTGTGAAGAGGAGTTGAAACAGTATGAACTAACATGGATGCAGGTGAAAAGTAGAGCAGAAGACAGAACTGGCAAGTGGAGACGTGCAGTTGAGGCCCTATGTTCCACTAGGAACCCAAGGGAACGATAATAATAAGATTACGAGAGCTGACTGGTATTTTTATCCCTTGGGTTGTGAGTAGATTATAGAGTTTGAAGCATTCAAATTTTCAGTAGCGATGGTGTTGTTGTATGGCGTGGGGTTGCCAACCTTCTATCTTTTTCAAGCTTACTGCTAGCTGAGTAAGGTTTAGTAGTGCATCAACTGAGAGTCGATTACCAACAATTCGTGGTGTTGAATAGGGTTCTACCAATCGAATCAGTTGTAATGGAAGGTTATTCAAAAGCATTCAAGAAAGACTATCAATTACTATTGCTCAAAACTATACTTTATCTAAACTTTCATTTAAAAAGATTTCCTACATATCGCCATATTGATTTAATATTTCTTGTGTGAAATATCAAGCTAGTCAGTTGTTTAATTAATTTTAAGCATATATGAATTCTTTTACTATAATTTCGAAATCAAACTGAACAGGTATAAAAATTGAGTGTTTCTTATTTACATCAATAAACTAGTTTATGGCACATACATTTCTATTTAAGAGACACAGTTGATTTGTAAGTTGGTTTTTATTATAAATACGAATGATATGCATTTTAAGTGAATTCCATGAAATTTTAAATAAAATACGTAATATAAGATGAAGAGAAAACTATGTAATTAAATACAATTTCGAAGAATTTTATCTAGACAGAGGAATATATCTACTATGGAGCAGAAGATGTTCATTTGAACGACATTTAATAACTTTCAAACTAAACTACAGCCTACAGGGAGCAAGCAAAACCCCAAAGGATGACAAACCACATTTAATGCAAACAATGAACAGGAAAGGCAACTGCGAATAGTAATAATAATGTAGTAGAGACTTACAGTATATAAATTATACCTTTATATAATTCTTATCCCCTCTTTCCCCATACAAACTTAAGATAATTAATCATTTTACATTCTTATTTCTAACCATAGTCTCATGAGAATTAAAATCATGTCTTATGCGGCTCTTAATAAAGACCACAGTCCCTTACAAATAGTTTCAAATGGGTTTTAATTTATCATATTCAGAATTCGCAAATTAATTTACAAATTGCCAGTCTGATTTATAGTGTTACCATTTCGCCCAAACAGCTGGTCAGAAATTGTGTGCTTTGAAATGATAAAGCTATCTGACCCGAGTGAAACTTGGCACATCGGTAACCAGCTTGACTCCAAACGAGTAAAACGGCAAAGCTGGTTGATGTGAATACTATACAACCACTCGTCACAATCAACCAGTAGCATATGGTTTAAATGCAAATAATCTTTTATTTTACTTAATTATGAACAGTTAGTCAACGAAAAATGCTGCTTCACTTGGGTTTCACACTTATTGAGAATTTGTCAACCTTGAGGAAATTCATATTTCCTTAGAGAAGCTAACTTTTGTTAAAATCAGTGGCTTAACCACTAGGATATTCACGTGGTGACTGACCTACTGTCCTACCACCTAACAATACTCAATTCTACTGTTTTATTCTAGGTATCAGACGCATGGTGTAGCCACAAATCTGAGTAACACAACAATGTTGTTGACTACGGTACAGTTGCCATTTCTGTAGTATGGACTATATAAATGTATATTTGGAAAAAGATGATTTTGAGCCAACTATTGTTTTCGATAAATTCTTCCTCAGGCTCTACAGTTCTTAACCAGACTATCACTGACACAGAGCATCAAAAATAAATTACCAGAGATGGCCACATCAGTATGTTTGTGTGTGTGCACAAATGCCATTGTTCATGTAGAGCTAGTTATATAGGTTGGCCTCAGAGGGATTTATCTTTACTCACTCATAAACACATTCTTGTTTAGCTTGGAAAAAGTACAACCAAATTAATAAATAGTGCCATTTTATCTCATATAGTAGATAGTGAACACCACATAAAAATACATGAGTTATTTACAGTTGTATATCTAGTACCTAGCAATCTGCCTGAAGGCACACGATTACATCTCTTAACTATAGAGGAAGTTATAGAGATTAATAAGAAAAAACTATACCTATGTGTACAATAGAAGCCCATTCATCTTCTTTGTTTACCTTGGCCTAATATAAGGTCATGTCATGTCAGATTGTGGTGAGAGCAGGCTGTTAGCTAATTGGTAGACATTAATTTACGTCAGTGTCTAGGTCTCTAATATTGGCCGTGAGAAAATATAAACAAGACTGATTCAACTACCAATCACAGCAGACTTAACGTGGGCAAATACGATTCGCAGATATATGGCTTAACTTTCTGAGAAACCGGTCACAAGCAGTACAGAATAACCTCGAGCAAGAAACAGCAAATCAGAAGACTGTGTTTGTCTGCTTGAATAAGCTATAATAATGTTCATGAAATATATATAAATATGTGCTGATTTCCTTAATAAGTGATCTGTTCCCTGGCCCTTGTCTTCTGTTGTTACAAGATTATGCCTTTCTTGTTCCTTCCCACCAACTTTATTTTATTGAATTATTTCCTTTATGTGTCAGTCTTTTGTAATTTACACTAAGCTTATTATGTCTGTAGTATTTTATTACAGTTCATAATCCAACCTCCTTAAGTTATCACTACACTTGATATCTGTCAGCCCTTGATTGAACTTACATTCAATGTTCCCCACTTTTTGTTATTTGTTTGCATGTGTTTTGTGGTAATCCTTTTCACTGCATACCACTGAATGTAACTCACCCCCCACATTCCAATGAAACGTATATTCTATTGACTATAAGTACATTAGTACATCACCTTGTCATACTCTATTCACACTTTTTCTTACATTCTGAATGACTGCACGATTTTTATATACGTTCATTTGACAATATTAAATATCGAATTATCACTCTATATTATACATGTAACCCAATACAGACAGTTTCTGATATAATTTTCACATGCCTTTAATGTCTATTTGTATTATAATATTCATGGATTTATAACTATAGAATCTGAGGAAAAAATTATTGAAACTACAAGTGTTCGCTCAAAACTATCTTGTTCTAATTTTACTCTATAGGGATTTTTAATTTATTGAAAAGTATATGTGTAAAACTTGGACACTGTGGTAGTAAGTAATTCCATATTAGTTTGTTTATTAGATGTATCACACAGTGAGTGAAACAGTATTATTTACTGCATGATGACGTTTTGAACACACTATTATTGTTCATAATCATATTAATTATAATCACACGACTTCGAAACTTGAGTTTTATAGTTTCCTTTATTCCTTCCTATTCGTTGTCGTAGGAGTAGTAGAATTTTCCAGATATCTGGGTGGACAGGTGTTGAATCATTCCTGTCACACGTGTTGATTTGCAGTTGATTCGATAAACAAAGCTTCTGTTATCAATCTCTCCCTTTCTCCACCCTGTGACGTTAGATTTTAAAACTGTCATCCTATCCCATCCTATTGTACGGTTGTGTGTAATTGCATGTGGTGAGTGCTATAGCTGAACTATTCTCTAGATTTCTTACCTTATTTGGGTCAACCAGTCTAGATTTTGCTGCTAGGTTTTTATGTTCAGCTAGTTTGACTGCCCCTGTTCTACTAGTTTGACCTATGTATTTGACCAGACAATCATTGCAGTCAGGGTATAAGATAAACTAAATTGTTTTGTTTTAAAGGCTCTACAGGATTGATCCTTTAACTGACAAAGCTTGTTTCTAATTCAGATTATGGGTTTGAATGACAGCCAGTTTTATTCCTGGCTAGTTAAGAATTCTGAGTAAGGTTTCCGAGGTTCCTTCCTTGTATGGAATTACTACTAATGATTTAGATTCCTTATTGTTGGTGTCGTCATTAATATTATTATCACTATTATTATTGTCATTATTATTGTTATTATAATTATTGTCACTATCGCTACTATCATTAATTATTTTATTTTTAGATTTCCTTACATATTTCCTGACTAATTTATCCGGGTAATTATTAAGTTTCAAGGCTTCATTTATGTGTACCACTTCCTGTCTTAGATTTTCCTTGGTACTACTTAGTTTTTGTGCTCTGTTACTTAAACATTTCACTAATCCTATTTTTAACTGACGTTGCAATCTAGCATTAGGAGCTCCCCTTTCTACTACCCCTACGACAAACAGAAGAAGACAGAGAAAACTATAGAACTCAAGTTTCGAAGTCGTGTGATTATAATTGATGGCATGATTATGAACAATAATAGATTGTGTTCGAAACGTCATCATCCAGTAAATAATACTGTTTCACTCACTGTGTGATACATCTAATAAACAAACTAATTTGGGAATTTTAAAAAGTAGATTTATCAAAAAACTAAACATTCATTATAATTATAGATACGTGAGTTAATATTATCCCAGAGGGAATTAGTTTGTTTCATCCTAGTTTTAGGAATCATCGGCAGTACGCACCCACTGGGTTTCGAACCCAGGACCTTCCGGTTACAAGGCAAGCTCGTATACCATTCAGCCACTGGGACCCAATTGAATGGCTCATGAATTCTAACTTCAGCCAATTCGTGATTTAGCGCGATCCCAACCATTGTCACTGGTGGGACATCCATCCACACACGTGACATCTGGTTTTCAATGGTTCTCTAACTGATATCAATCCGTGATCAACTCGTAAAAACATAACAAACCCTTACAAACCAAACTATAGAAAATTAGTTTGTGCTCAAAGATAGCACAAACGTAAACGCCTTGTTAAATTACTTCTTAAGGAGAACTTTGCATGAATATAAGTGAAGTTAAACAAGCCAAACTCTCTTATCTGATTATCATTCTTACTGTGAAGTAAACTACCTTATTAGTCAAAATGTGATTTATCTCAGGCTAGAGAAAACTTCACAAGTAGTTTCATTGATTTTTTAAGCGTCAACTGAAACTAAGGACTCTCACAAATGATGTCTACTTTTGCTTTACTTTACGTGTCATAAAAATACCCATTATAATGTTTATTCTTAAACGTTTGAAAACTAAAAATTTAAGTTATTTTAACTTCGGTTCACACATGTGAATTAGAGAGTATTATTATTTAAAAACACCATTTTTTATTTTATTAACAGAGACTTGAATTTTCAAGGGTTTTTCTTTTTCATAGATAAACACGTATTGATCACTCTTTGAGTAAAACAAAAGTGTCATTCAGTGCCAAGTGATTGTAAAGGCATTTTTTGTTAATAGTTTCACATGATGATTAGTTCTTGTTTAATAAAAATAAAACAAACATAACTTACATGTACAGTTTATACCGACAACTCCATGTGTTTGATACCGTTTAGCTAAAGCTAAAGTTCTATCAGCTGTTTCTGGTCTATCTCCCATAATTGTTAAAATTGAACGAACTTCAATTTTATTCTTTGCACTAGCTCTGTCAAATGTATCCAAAATTACTTGGAGAGCCTCCTCTGCATTGAAATAAGCATTGTTTAAAGCGAATGGACAAAATCGTGTTTCTACATAACACAAACCACCAAGTTGAACACAATCTTCAACGAATTCATGACAGATACGCGCTAATACCTCCTAAGTGTAAACAATTAAAAAAATTTATGGAGGAGAGAAATAGATAAAACTGAGTTCACGAAAATAAAGTTTGTTAATTGATATTTGTTTCATCTAGATCACTTTACATTTCCCGTAGATTGATTATATTGGAGAGAAATGCTCGGCCTCTGCTAACATGTCAGCTAGTAGTACTAACGCTTCGACGATATCTGAAGATTACCTTGATGTTATTTTGGTTGGTAGTGGAATCTAGGATGCTTATTTCATCTTATCCACTAGTATAGGGATATGAAAGGATGAGTGTAGGGTTCGAGTCTAAGTAGGAACACCACTCACACAGAGAATGCAGGTATATCAAGAGGACGGGTCGCAAATAGGACGAAGTGCACACTGTTAGTCACCACCAGCCAAAGTAACATTTGTTAATTAATACCTAAGGTAGTAAAAGTAAACTGTGAAATGTTTTCTGATTATAGCTTGATTCCACAGAGTATTTTGGTAGAAGTATGGAATTTTCAACATGTGATTTCGGTAGCGCAAATTTAGCAGGCTGTCTATTGATACCAGGTGTGCATTGGCTGCAGATCGGACCCCGGATCATGTGCTTGGCTAGCTAGAGTCCTACTCACTTTGTCACCGACACCCACAACATAATGGTACACCTACTGATTGGGTATTGGTTTTTAGGAGAACAGAACACACCTATCCCTGCCTCTTGCGAGAAGAGAACGGCATGCAGTTTCATCCTGTGGCACAACCACTCTATAGCCCTCTCCCTCAGTGGACAATAGGTAAGCGATGAACTGCAGTTCTTAAGTGATGTGCGTCGGAGGCACAGTGTTTAGGACTCTCGCCAACCATGCATATGGTCCGAGGTTCGATCCCCTGCCGACACACACCTGATATCTATGGTCGGCCTGCAAAATTTGGGCTACCGATATCCATGCTGAAAGTTCCATACTTGTATCAAGAAAAATACTGTGTGGAATCAAGCTGTAAACAAAAATTTAAAAAATGTCTAAACACTCTTCGTTTATTCATAAAATTGTGAAACAGACTTTTAATATAACAGTAATAATCCATAAGGAATGCATGTTAATCCTAATACTTCAGTGAGCTGGAAAGTCATTTAACATACGTAATAACATGAGAAGAAATACAACAACTAATTAAAAGTAAGACTTGATCATCTAAAGGAAAATACAAAAGATATCTTGAAAATACTGTTATTTTTGACATTTATCACACAGTTAGCATAGCATTTACGCAACAAAGAATGTAAGCTTAAATTGTATTCTGTTATCTCAAAACTTTATTCATACATATTGAACAAATATTCCAATAGTTTAACTTTCGAGATAATCATCATTATGTCTTGAGAATCTATTTCTATTCTGTTCTTAGATTAAACTTTGCTAGACATTCAATATCATGAAATTATTAGGAGTGTTTCTGATGTTTGAGAGATAATGAAGATTGACCAGGTGATTTTTGGTGTGTAAATGCATTTCTCTTCAGTTATGCTGGATATGTAAAACTAATAAATGGGATTCACCTCTTAGAAGAATTTTTGAACATCCTTCTGAACTCTTATTACATGGTTGTTTAATTTAATGAAGCTTCATCACTACTCACTTTTATTAATTCAAACGCATAACTTAAATGTTCTAAAAACTGTTTCAGTGAACACAGAAAACTGGCATCTGTGATAGAATGTACAGCCGTTCTAACTACTGACCATAATTACACGTATAGCTTTAACGTTTGGCATAGTTTATACTTCTATTGAAGTTCTAAACCCCCCAAAAAGCTGGTTGTTACTTTTAAGCGAAATTTATCTTAGCAGCTATTAGTGACTACTATCCATCTAAGATAATTTCATAATGTCAGCTTAAAATATATCATGTCACTTGTCTAGCAGTTCATAAAAAGTAAGTTATTTCCAATTCTTTTGAATTACGCTAGTTTCAGTAAGGGAGCATACTTATTCATAAAATAAAGTATTTATTTCATTTATTAACTTTACCCAAGTGTATGGTTTGGGTGGGGATATTGGCTCAAACTGCCTCGTTCGCCACTAATAAACTGAATTTTCTGATGTGATTGTATCATTGTGTATGTAATTGTTCTTTTCATTGTGTGAGGTCCACCGTTTTAAGCTCATTTTGTGTATAACAAAAGTCGTTTCGCATAGTTTTGCGACATAATTTTCATCCCTTGTTTAGAGGTGTGAATTTTATAATATTTTAGCATGGTAACAACACTTATAAGCCGGGTTTTTAAATAAAACTGATTAAATCGACTTGATGCAAGAGATATTTACAGTCTAAAGCTTTCCACTAGTACTATTTAGAGATTAATACTACAAATAAAACCTACTGTCTGATAGGTACATCTTTACCTGGTATATGTTCCGGAAAAATCACTTATCTCGTCAGATACACATCTTCTTAAGTGGCGCCATAGTTCATTTGCTTTTGGATATTCCCATAGTTCTAAAGAATCCTATCTTTGCTTCTAATAAATGGATTGTATATGAAACTCTTACAATAAAAGTGAAGGAACCTGATAAAATCTGTTCAGTCCTATATTCCACTTTACAACTTTATTGTAGTAGTTACCCTACCTGTCAAAACAATTTGTTTCCTTTAGACGGTAAATTTTAAGGGCTGTTTTTAGTACTAAATCTACATAGCAACCATTTATTATCTCTTTTGTTGAACTTTACTTTTTAAATAACTTTTTTATCATTTGACACTTTATTGTAACATGCTAGGTGCCGATGGTGAAGGCTTTTGAAGTCGTCGAAGTATGCCATCACATTAAGCCTAGTAGGACTGTCCTTTAACTTGGACTGACAGCATGTAGAATCAAATTTTCATTTGCAAATTACACATTTCTGGATAAGAACTCACTGAGGTGTTCTTTTAAAAACAAAAGTAGTCATATCACATTATGCCATCAGCTTTGTACTGTAAATGAAAGCAAAGAAAGTAATTAAAATAACGCAAAGCTACATATAATTGACCGATATGGAAAACTAAGAGGTGCTTAAATCAAGATGTGGTGCTTTTGTAGCCAGATCAAATTGATCCCAGCCCTGGCTAGCTGCTTCTGTCGTTTGAAACCATGTTGAACAGTGGTACAGGTGGATTCATTTAGCCTGAATTTCTACTGAAGGCATTCAAGATAAATCTGCACAAGGACTAGTTTGGTCTGTTGTGCACGAAGAATATTCTCATTTATCATCCATAAAAGGCTTGTGCTTTTACACTCTTTATGTTATAATTCTAATTATTAACGAAAAATAAATAATCAACTGTTGTAATTACATTTTGTCGATTACCTGAATAGTGGAGCTGATCCTTTTCAATGTCAACAACCACTTAAAGCTATTTAGAAAGGTACACAATACTGCCTCAAACAGTACAGGTTTTATACCCAAAATGTGAGTATTAGTACAGTTGAATACTTGCCATAAATTGGTAGGGTGAATTAGCACATTTCAGGTTGAACAGTAGTTCAAAGTGTGAACGCTGGTCATTACTACTAATTTAGTCTATAAGCGTTCATATTGTCGTTGTCAGCCCTGTGAAAATCAAATTCAATCAATTTTGAAATTTTCGCAGTATTTCATAAGAACATAATTTTAAACTATCTGTTACACTAATAGTGATGCGCTGAAATACTAATTAAGTGACAAGTAAACTACTTGAGAACATTCAGCGTAGACATTAAAACTAAACAGTATGGAAGATATTGCTAGAAATCTAAATATTACATCTTTACAATTCAAGCACAACATGAAATAATATGATCTAACCTTTTTACCAGATATCAGCGGTGATATCATGGACAGTGATTTCGAGTACTGTTCCGCAGAATATGGAGCCTTAGGAAGCAGCCTTTCTTCAAATTCTGTCAATGTGTTGGGTGAATTTGATGACATTTTTGTTTGTGACAGTTCAAAAAGTGTTTTCGGTCTAACTGAACCACCCAAATTAATATGTAAATCAATCCCATGTGCATGTTCAGGCAGCAACATTTCTCAAAGTTAAATGATAACCAATTGTTGACAGAATTCTGTCTTATTTGTGTGGTATATTTAATGAGATTTAAATAAGACAGCTAAGGCAGTTTAGAAAGCGAGCACGAAAATCTAGGGTGAAAGCATAGTAAAATAATCAAATGAGGACAGTGACTGAATAAAACACATTTAATAATATATATAGCTTTAAAAAACATGAATGTAAAAACGTGAACTTAGTCTTATTTACGTGCTTAAAGTTCATTTTGCATCAGTAGGATTATGTAACATTTCGGGTGACAATTATTTTGTCTGATAACCTATTGAGTCAATCAGAAGAGAATAAACAATTACAGACAAGATTTCCTGACAGTGACTTGCAGCTCATTTACAGACTTTAAAAAAATTAGAATCCCTTACTTTAGGTTGTGAATGCCATATGTTATGTATGAAGAAAACAAGAAATTCCTAGAAATATTCATAACTGGATGAAGTTCCCAAGCTTACAATAATTCTAAACTAATTATAACCTATGAGTCGATAACGCTTTTTTATGGTCAACGAATATTTTATCTACCTACCACGTACTGAAATAATTCTGGTCGTTCTTAAAAAGGGTGCCGGACGCTTAATTATTGAGACGAAGATTGGCATCTGAAATAATGCTTTTAGTTCTGAAAATTCATCTATGCATAGATGAAATCAATGAGTATGGGCAGACATGTTTGCCCATACTCATTGATGCTATACAAAAGATTTTTTTAAATGCCACTGCAGAGCTATTAAAAACTCAGAAGCTGTCAAATATCCACAAGGCTGTAGCCTTGTAATTATAAGGCTGCATATATGCAGCATTATAATCTTCTTAAAAATTCTTTGTATTTTGATGTCAAAAACGCAAAACATTATGAGTAAAAACCGATATCCTACAACTAAAAGTAACTGTAATTATTTTGGAAGGCGAATTCAGTTGACAATATTTGTTGTCCACAAAGTGCAGCATAAAACAATCTGATTACCGACAAATGTATGGACATTCAAAAGTGTACAAGTGTCTGAGTATATATATGTGAACAATGTAAACAACTTTTCAAGGTCGACGTCTGAATTTCAGGTTACCTGTATAAAATTGTTTTAAATCTGGTGAATTTTTCGGTCTGTGAGTTTAAATAATTTGGTTACTTTTTATAACAGGAAATACGCATCACAACTCTCTGGAGAGATTCACATTCCTTTATCTTGGCCGGATTTTTTTCTCGTGAGCTCTACTTTACACTTTTGCTACCACCCTCAATGCTTTTACCTCCCTTTTTGAGCGAGTGAACTATACTAGTGGTATATTTCAGTGATAAATTTCTCAACGTAACAGATGCTCGAGCTCCTATGCTACTCGTCTTAGTTTCATCTGATCTTATAAAGAAGTACGGGAAAGATAGGTTGTACTGTCATACTACAGCTATCATACTTGTGGCGGTATTTAAGCATTCATTTTCAGTACAAGGTTTTTCAGTTGGGACGTAATCATATGTATATATATGGTCACTGGTGATCCCGTTAATGTCCCTGCTGTTCGCCAAGGTGGTTTGGGATATCGAATGGCAAGTGAAAGAAAGTTTCGTATATGTAGGTTCTGAACGGCTATGAAAAATAGGCCAGTGTAGTTCTGAAGGGAAATGAAAGCTTCTTTCTGCCTTACCGTAGTGCTTGCATACCCGGTGTGTACTTTAGGGCACTAAGCTACTTTGACGGTGTTCACTCTTTTAATCAGCGTGGCAAATTTTTACGGCTCGTTAGCGGTGAACGAACACCGATAAACGATTGGGCTATCTGTGGATTTTTAGCTGACTCGAACAGAAAAACATAAGAACAGCAGGCTTTGAGCAAATAAGCAGAAAAAACAAATGATCGAGTACTAGGTCAAGCTATCCTCGTTCTCAATACGATTACCCAAAGAGACTGTTCGGGACCAGTTCTAATTTCCTGTCCCTTACACACGTGGGATTCTGCGTTTAAATGGATAAACCATCAGTTATTTAATAACTATCCGATTCCTTGTGCTAACCAAAATCACACTATTCATGAAATTTTCAACTAAAACGTGTTAGGAATGCATCAACAGGACACATTTTATCTCTAAAAGTGACTCGAAATTCTTTTGCCATTAGACAAATCCTGGATCAGAAATATCTTCTGAAGTGTAATATGAGCAGAAAATTACTGTTTTCCGTTCACGTCACACCCACTAATTATTCGTTCAAGGATTTTAAACGGAGCGCTCTCGAGACAGATAAATGTATGATTTTAAACCCATATTCCGAAAAGCCTTGACCAAAAATCATTGAATATGGCACAATTCGATAATAGAATTTGTGCATACAGTGTTAGATGAGTTGTCAGCGTCCAGTTCTAACTACACTGAACTTCACAATGTCCTTAGAAGACTTTCGAATACTATGCTCAATAAACAACGCAAAATAACCGAACACAAAATGGTGACTCAAGAAACCTTTATCGTTGCACCATTAAAGAGCCAAACATAAGGTTATTGTAGAAAAAGTACAAGAAAAATGTCATAAAACAAATCACGATAACAGCTCTGAGAGCCTTTCTCTTTCTTCCAACGATTAGCAAACGATGAGACGATGACTGCCGCATTGATTATGCCCGCGAAAAATGAGGAAGTTGGTTTTGAGCAAACAACCAAGAATTGATCGTTCAATCTTCAACTCCATTGACACTCCCCGACAAAACACGGATCCATCCCTTTTTTCCATCACGACCAATACACGTCGACTTGGATGCCATTGAGAGAACCTGGGTCACACGGACAGAGCTGAAATGGAAAAAAAACAGAAAAGAAAAAAAGAAAAGAATTATAGGACGTAGAGCAGTACGCCTACAACCCTTCTCAGGCTGACGCCCTAAGTTGGAAAATCGTCGCAGAGTTTATTTGCTGACCTCCTTCCATCATCTATATCCTCAACTCTGAACGGTGACACGCCCATGACATTGTATAGTTGAATGTAGATGACTAACAAACACGCGACGTATCTGACCAACCAAGCGTAGGCACAGAGCAATTTACACCAAAGATAATAGCATTCAAATAGTAACTTGAAACTTGAAAGGCCTTTATTCGCGCAAGTCAGTTTAATAATTAGCCTCTCGTACACAGTTGGTTTATCCTCCCTAAAATGACCATTGACTTTCGTCCTTTCAAATGGACTGTTACTAGCATAGTCATAGCATAAGACACTTGAGTTCATGGACGTCCCTTTCATTGTGGATGACAACACCGACGACGACTGAGTGACACAAGTTGATGAACTTAGCGGTGTATCAGAAGCTGTTGTTGTTAAGCTTTTGGAAGTTTTTCTAACTGCAAGATTAACACCACTGCTGTCTTTTATTATTAGCTCCAGTCTAGCATTAACATCTGTTGATAGGTGGGCTACACCCTGATCATTTACACTGACGGTCTCATGAGTATCCATACCTTCTACCACCTCATTTGCTCTTAATTCTACTTCACGTTCAAGTTGTGCAAAGGTTTTGTTCAACTCAGCAGTAGTAGGCATTCCCCTCATCTCATCATGATCAGCCAAAGACAAAAGTGCACTATCATGACCATTATCACAAATATTCATTTACCGTCGTCTATCTGGTCGACTTCATCATTTTTAAACTCTTTAACAAGAGCAGAGATGATTTGGGTTCTTCCTCACAAATCCTTGAGGGTTTTATACCTTTACTCTGACTAGTAATACCTTGAAAACTTGGGAGTCAGAACTGGACTCTGAATCTGTCACTCTCTTCCCCTGCACAAACTGCAGTGTCGTCTGTGACACTCCGCTCAACAATGGCTTACCGGTTGCAACTACAGGCTTCTTCACTGCACCATTATCGTCACACAATTCGTAGTCAGACCTTGATGATGCTGACTTCACATTTAGCTTACTACTAAACATGGTCACTTCTTCACAGTTCGCCTTTTTATGCACTTCTTGCAAACGTGTAAAACACGACCGTGTTTATCTCGCAACTTGTAACCCATCTGTTTCGGAATTGGGCGCAGGATACGCATTGCCTATGTATATCCTTTGTTTGGGGGCATAACTTTAAAGCACTATATAGCTCTTGCAGCAACGCCAGTGCAGTACCTCAACAAATACATTAATAAAAACCGCTCAATATGATCTCAAACTCTTTAATGAACTGTGGATAATCGGTTTGGTTTCCATTAAAGTACCGAGGCTCCAATATAAGTAACTTTAAACTCATACTATCCCTAAACGGCGAACCATGAACAACAGACTCATCATGCTGAGCATCATACATATGATTACAATTAACAAGCAACTCAGCATTACTTACTTTCCTGCCTGCTTCGAAGACGCTTTTTCCCTTCTTTGACCATGGCATTAATGAACTCAACCAAATGATCCAGAAAAGTTCCGGATAATACTTGTCCAAAGAAGATGGGCGGACACGATGAAAGACGAACAGAAACTGTCAATGTCCAGCTCTTACTACGCTGGACCTCACACTGTCCCTGGAAGACTTTCGGAAACAATTTGTAATAACCGACGCGAAAAACCAAAACACAGATTGGCGACTCGAGTATCCTTTTTTACGCCGATATGTGACCAACAATGAGGTTATTATACACCAGGCTTAAGGATAAATGTTATGACAATAATTCACGATAATACTTCTAATAGTTTTTATCTTCCACTGAACGGCGACGATGACTGCTGGATTGGTCACTCCCGCGAAAACAATGGAGGAGTTGTGTTTGAGCAAACAACCATGAATTGATAGTTCATTCTTCAACTACTTTGGCAAAACGTAATATTTTCCTGTAAACATTTGTTTAAAGAGTTGTTTTATTCTCTACTTTAGTTGCCAAACAACCTATTTTCTGCTTTAAAACACTGGTGTTATGGAATTAAAGTCGAGAAAATACATAGTAACTATCAGTTCGGGGCGTCTTCGTAACAATAGGAACTTTAGGATGTGTTTCTTGACAGTTTTTATTCGTTTTCTGGAGCGCCAACATGGACAATTTTTATTCTACTCTTCGTTTACTGGAGCGCCTTCTGGGGCAGTTTTATTATTCTCTTCGTTTTCTGGAGGGCATTGTTGAACTCATTCGGGTTTACTTATAGGGTGTGCAGCCAGCATCTTTTTGGACAGCGATTATCAACGCAATTCGGATCCCTTATTGATGTTGAATAGTGCTTGGGTATAGGAAAGGACGTGGATATTAAGATACTGCATCAAAGGTTTGGAAAACTATTTATGATATCTCGTGGTATTTTTGAGACCGTGAAAGGTCATAGATCACAGATAAACAATAATTCAGGGCAGCTTGCAGAAATCATTAACAGTTTAATAGTATATAGAAATACTCTTGTGTCGCCTAACTGCGTAGATGAATTGAATTCAAGTCCCGTGCTTGAGACTGTTGCCAATAGATTCCCAGTTTGTCTGCGAAAAAAGTTCATAAACATAAGCTCCCGTCTAGGAGAGGAGGGTTAAGAGCCTGGGTTGGATGTTGTCAGCCTGGTGAAAGACAGTGTCAACCAAGCTATGAGCAAGTTAGAGAGCATATTGCATCCCACCCCTAGTATGGAGCAGTCTGAGAGAAAAACGCAATCATTTTTGACGGAAGGGTCTCAGAGACGTAGATATCGAGAAAACTGTATGGTGTCTAGTAATCCTTATAAACTTAGTGAGTGTAACAGATTTTGTAGGACGTCCGAAACAGATAGGTTACAAGTTGCGAGATAAACACGGTCGTGTTTTACACGTTTGCAAGAAGTGCATAAAAAGGCGAACTGTGAAGAAGTGACCATGTTTAGTAGTAAGCTAAATGTGAAGTCAGCATCATCAAGGTCTGACTACGAATTGTGTGACGATAATGGTGCAGTGAAGAAGCCTGTAGTTGCAACCGGTAAGCCATTGTTGAGTGGAGTGTCACAGACGACACTGCAGTTTGTGCAGGGGAAGAGAGTGACAGATTCAGAGTCCAGTTCTGACTCCCAAGTTTTCAAGGTATTACTAGTCAGAGTA